GCGCCTGAATAACAGCAAAGATGTGGAACTGTCCAGATGTTCCACGTGTGCAAACGATGAGTATACTGTTGTTGATGATGGCCATGATGCAACTCCACGGTCCCCTTCCGAACCAAGAGGAACATCTCAATGGGCCGCGTTGACGGGGCAATCGTTCAATCTGTTGCCGCCTCTGGAGAGGCCGAACGACTCCGCGGCCGCGCTGGGGAGAAGAGGGCGGGGGGAGAAACGGGGCTTTTTCTCCTTCGGCGTTCGCGGAACACGGCGCGCTCCGCAGGCTGAGGGGCGCCGTGGATCTCAGGCGCGCCGCGGCCGCGAACGCGCGCGCGATTGGCTGAACGGCGCAGTTGTCGCGAGAGCCTGGGCGCGACGAACAGAGTAGCGCCGCTCTCGAACAAATGGGCGGCTAATTGCTGGGCTGCGCATTCCGCGTCATGGCGCTGCGCGGGGCGCACAACTCAGAGCCGCGCTCGTAGGCGATGCCGCTGGACGCCGCTGCGACGCGCCTGCCAGTCTCATCGAGAGATCCCGGAGTAGGCTCGTCTCCGCCCGCGAAACCGTCCGTTGAACAATGCGCGTGGCCCATTCGGGTCTCTCGGTGGTCCATGGCGCCGTCCAAGCCCCCTTGCGCGGGGTCGCATTCCGAGTCGTCAGTATGTTTATGCGAAGCGCCTGTCCGCGGCAACTTGGATGCGGTGGCCGTCCCCGGCGCGTTGCTGCGCGTCCGCGACTGCGCTGGGCAACGTCGCAAAGCGCCATGCAGACCTCCGCGCGGTCTTCCGATGCAACAACGCAAGCAGGCAGGTCCGCGCCCAGATCCAAAACCGTGTCTTCCGCAGGGTTTCCAGGGGCAACGGGATCGGCGCCGAAACGGCGTGTTTCAGCAGCCCGCGCACGGTTGTTCGTGTTGAGTTTAGTTTGGGGAACCGCAGTTCGGCCTGTAGTGCCCAACTTTCCAAAACTTGGCCGCCCTCCCTTGCTTTGCCTGTCAAAGAGCGGCCTGGCCTCCCCCGGTTCGCGCCGCCTTTTCGCTGCGCCGTAGCGCGGCCGCTTCAATTGCCGTCGCTGCTCGCAACGATCGCCATGGCTGAATTGCCGGCGCTGCCGGTGGCAAATTGCGAATCGTCTCCCGGGCGTTCCCGACGCATGCGTTTTGCGCTGCTGCTGACGGCGCGCTCTGTGTCGTCGCCGCTTCCGCGGTGCTGCGCCAGCGTGGTTAGTGCGTCTTGGTCATGGCGACGCTGCAAATATGTGAAACCGGATTCGTTCTTGTAGATAGCCATTTGAGGCTCGTTTCCTCATGGTTGCGCCGTGCAGCGGCAAAGAACAGCCGAATCAGCAAGGTGATCGCGGACGTAATGGCCTAGAAAAACCAAGCGCTCATCGCTTGCTGCTTCCGAGAGGTTGGGCGGCATGGCACCAGAATCTTTGAATCGAGGGCCTGGGTGCCATGGGACCAAAGCGGCTACAGATAACACAAGAGAAGGGCACGCTATAGACACATCGGTAAAACACCCAAGGCTCGAGCCCCATGACAAGGGCAATCAAGGGGAACATGCGTAAACGCACAGAGGATTCGAGCCACAGGAGAGGAGCCACCAAAATGCACATACGTAAACGCGCACAAGTATCGAATCATAGAAGAGGGGCGATCTATAGGCATACGCGTAGACCACACAATATTCGAACCGCAGGGAAGGCGCAGCCACACATACGAAAACACACAGAATATTCAAACCACAGGAGAGGCGCAATCTATAGGCACAGACGTAAAATACATCGGGGTCGAGCCGCAGAAGAGAGGCAATACATAGGCACATACGTAAAACACAGGTTTCGAAGCAGATGAAAAAAGGGCAACCTATACGCACACACGTGTGTAAAAACACAGAATTTTCGAAACGCACGAGAAGGACAATGTATATGCACATACGTAAGCACACATCGGATTCGATCCAAAAGAGAGGGGCACTCCATAGGCGCACGTGCAAAACGCACAATTCAAACCACAAGAAATGGGGCATACATATATGTATATATTTATAGGCGCGTGCGTGAACACACGCACCCAAGATTCGAACCACAGGAGAAGGGCAATATATCGGCACACGCGTAAACACACATAGAACGCTAGCCAAAACAAAAACGGCAATCTATAGGCACATACGTCACATATGTAGGATTCGAACCAGAAGAAGAGACCAACCCATAGGCACATACGTAATCACACATAGGATTCGAAACCCAAACGAGGGGCGATCCGTAGGCACACACGTAAAACACGTAGGGTCCAAACCACAAGAGATGGGCACCCTTTCGGCTTACGCGTAAAACGCATAATATCCGCACATGCGTAAAACAAATCGAATTCGAGCCCCAGGAAAACAAAGGGGCATTCTATAGGCGCATACGTAAGACGCGTAAGGTTCGAGCCACAAAAGAAGGGCACTTCATAAACACATACGTAAAACATGCAGGACTCGAGCCACACATTCTTAAACAAACGGGATTCGAACCGCAGGAAACGGACACTCCCTTGGAACATGCGTTAACACATAGGAATCGCGCCACAAGGGAGGGGCGATCCGTAGGCACAGACGTGCAAACACAGGTTTCGAACCACAGGAAAAGGGCAATCTATGGTCGAGGGTTTGGCCCCCCCCCAATGCTAATGCCATCGGGCTCCCCCCCCCCCGGCGCGATGGCCCCACCCCACCTGTGGGCGTGGGCGGGGCGTGGTGCCCCCCCCCTGTGGGAGTTGTGTGGGGTCCCCCCTGTGGGCGTGTGGTGGTTCGGGGTCTGCCTCAGCCAAGAGTCGGCGTCGCTGGCGCCGCCGCCGCAGTCGTGTCGTCGTCGTCGTCGTCGTCGTCGTCGTCGTCGTCGTCGTCGTCGTCGTCGGAGGAGGAGGAGGAGAAGGAAAAGGAGGAACAGGAGGAGGAAAGGGAGGAGCATCGGTATCGGCATCGGCATATGCATCGCCATCCCAGGCATGACGTAAAACTGCTGCATTCGTCCCGTTTCGTCGTTAGACATGCGGCCCTCCGTCAACGAAAGCCAAGGAGGGAAGAAAGGAGGGCGGGGAGGAGGCAACAGGGCATGCGGAGGAAGGAGAAGAGGAGGGGAGTAGAGGGGAGCAGAGGAGTGGAAGGGGGGAGGAGGAGGAGGAGCAGTTAGCAGCGAGCCTTCGGCGACCGCCTGTGGGTGTGGTGTGGTGCTGTGGTGGTTCAGGGAGCGCAGGAGGGCTGCAATCTCCTAGTGCAGAGGTCGTCGTCGTCGTCGTCGTCGTCTTCGTCGTCGTCGTCGTCGTCCTCGTCGACGTCATCGTCGTCGCCGCCGCCGCCGCCGGCGCCGCCGCCGCAGCCGTCACCGCCGTCGTCGTCGTCGTCGTCGTCGCCGCCGCCGCCGCCGTCGTCGTCGTCGTCGCGTCCTTATCCATCCCGCCTCCCCCTGATGATGATGGTGATGATTACGACCACGATGACGACGAGACGCGACGACAATGACGATGATGATGAGTAGGAGATGACGATGAGGATGAAAGGGAGCATGATGATGATGCGTATAATGATGCTGAGGATGAGGAGGATGATGCTGATGATGCTGAAGTCGATAAGGATGGGGATGATGACGATGAGGATGAGGACGATGACGATGAAGGTGATGAGGATAATGCTGGTGCTGAGGATGATGACGAGGATGCTGATGATGTAGATAAGGATGATGATGAGGATGTGGAAGATGAGGATGATGCTGGCGATGATGAAGATGATGAGTACGATGATGAAAATGAGGACGATGAGGATGAGGATGGGGACGATGAGGATGAGAAAAAGGGCATGGGGATGATAATCATGATGGTGGTGATAATCAGGATGACGAGGATGATGTTGATGATGATGAGGATGATGAGGATGCGGACGATGAGGATGATGATGGAGACGATGACGATTATGATCATGATGATAATGTTGAGGATGATGACGAAGATGATGCTGATGATGATACTGATGATGCTGATGAAGATGAGGGTGATGTTGAGGATGATGCTGATGATGGTGATGGGCACGAGGATGAGAATGAGGACGATGATGAAGAGGACGATGATAATGAGGACGGTTATGCATCCCCCTGGTGATGATGCCTCCCCCCGATGAGGATGAATTTGAGATGATGATGACGACGCCGACGAGGAAGATGATGGTGATGAGCTGCTGCTGCTGTTGCTGCCGCTGCTACTTCTCCTCATCCTCATGCTGCTGCTCCTCGTTATCCTGCTCCTGTGCTGCTCCTCATCATCCTCCCCCTCCTCTTGCTGCTCTCCGTGTCTTCGTCGTCGTCGTCGCCGTCGTCGTCGTCCTCCTCTTTCTTCCTCCTCCTCCTCCTCCTACCCCCCCATCCCATCTGGGGGGGGTGGGGGGCCCGAGGACCCTGGGACCCATCCCATCTGGGAGGGATGGGGGGGCGTGGGCCTGGGGCCCGCGATATACATGGGCACATGCGTGGGGTTCGAGCCACTGGAGGGTGGCAATCTTTAGGCAAATACGTAGAACACATAGGATTCAAACCACCTGCGATGGGCAATCCATAGGCACGTACGTATAACGCACGGGGTTCGAAACGCAGGAGGGGGCCACTCTATAGGCTTACGCGTAAACGCATACGATTCGAACCGCACGAGAAGGGCAATCTATAGGCACATGCGTAAACAACATAGGATTCGAGTCGCACGAGAAGGCCAAACCACGGGCGCATCTGTACAATGCATTGGATTCGAACCGCACAAGAAGGGCAATCTGCAGGCGCAGACGTAAACGCGCGCACACGCAGGTTTCGAATCGCAGGTGAGGGGGCAATCTATGGGCACATGCGTGAACGCACACAGGACTCGAGACGCGGGAGAAAAACAATATGTAGGACCATGCGTAAAACACAAAGGATTCGAACCGCAGGAATGGGGTAAACTGCGGTAAGGACATTTTCGCTCTTCGGGGGCCGCGAAGCCCCTGAAGACAATGCTTGCGCGGGGCCAACGGGCAGGGACCCCCCGCGAGCAGCGGCAAACCACGCGCCCCTCGCGGGCCCGCAAGCCGTAAGCTTGGGGTCCACAGCCCGTGCCCGCGCGGTCGCCGCGCGCGCCGAGGCGCTCCAGCAGCCGCTTCGCGGGTCGCGCGCGGAATGCGACCGCTCGAGCCCGCTTGTCTCCGCGCAGAAGGCCTCCGTCAGGTCTTCTACGTCCTGCTCGCGCTGGCTTCGGCGCCGCTGCAACGGACCTGCCTCGGCCACGGCCTCGGCCTCGCCTGCGCTATCGCTCGCGGGCTCGCTCTCGGACTGCCGACCCGCTTCGGTCCTCGCGGCCGTCGCGAAGCCGTCCGAGGCCAACGCGCCGTCCCGCCCAGAGCGAAGGAGGCCGCCCCAGGCCTTGACGGTGTCCATGAGCTTCGCCACGTGCTGGGTGGCGGCTGTGTCGTGCGAGCGCCAGACAGACATGAGGCCCCGCAGCTCCTGGACCGAACTGCAGGAGCGAGAACCCCCCCGCACCTGCTCCGAGAACTGCAGGGTGCCGCGGATGTTGGCGAGGGAGCCCACGAGCAGCTCCTTCAGCTCGTCCCGGACGTCCTGGGCCTGCTGCCGCGCGCGCTGCTCCGCCGGCCGCCAGCCCGAAGCCAGGCCCTTCACGAAGGCCTCCACTTCGGCATGCTGGTCCACCAGACAAGCTCCTGGGGCCAGGCACTCGTTGCACCGATCGCATGGCCCATCGCCTGCACATCCCGCAAGCGCGGCCGACCTGGCATCAGCTGCCGAAGATACGGCACGACCTTCGCCTGCCGCGGGCGCCTCCACGAAGCTGCCGCCGCCGAACACGCAGCCGTCGCCGTCCTTGTCAAGTGCCTGCAACGCCGCCTGCGCGAGCAGGTCTGCCTCGAGGTTCAACGCGTCCAGACCCATCAGGGTCTCGGGAAGCGTGGTCGGCTCCCCGAACTGCTCCCCGAGGCACGGCCCTCGCTCAGCAAGACGCCGTGCGGACAGGGGCACCCCGTCCTCGGGCAGGCTGGCGGCGTGTTGGGCGCAGTTGCGCACCAGCACCTGCCCAGGCCTCGCCCGCGCTCCGATGACCCCCGGCCAAGGTAGGCCGAGAGAGGCGCTCTCTCCTTGCCACCTCGTCGCCGAGCGCCCCGAGTGCGGCGCCGCACCAGTGCCCGTCGGGGCGGCCTAGCGCACGCCAAAGGCCCCGCTCCAGGGCAACGCGCCCGCGCCGCCTCGCCTCACGCCGAACCGCAGAGGCCTCTAGCCGAGAGGCCTCCTCCCGACGAAGATATCGCACGGGCCACTCCGCCTGCCGGTGGCGGCCAAGCACCTGCGCACCCAGACATGCGGACCGGCGCGGGCGAAGGGCAGGGGACGACATGAGCCAAAATGGCTACGGACGGTGAGGGCATTGGATAAGGAACCCTTGCATAGGGAATCCAGGGTCTGGAAGCCGATGGAGCACCAATTGAGGCTTGGCCATTGATACCACAGTCGCCCTCATCAGATAAGGAATCCTCCAAGGCCTGAAGCTTCCTGGGCGCATTCCTTCTCGAGCGCCCCCGCCGTATAGGAATATACATCAAGCGCATCGGATTCAGACCGCAATGGAAGGGTCATCGATCGGAGCGTACATGAAACACACGGTGCCGGCAGCCCGCTGGGCCAGCGAGGCACCTCCCCCCAGACCCCTTTGTGGAGATTCTCGTGGAAGGAAATCTTGGATCACTGTGATCGCCGTCTGGCAAAATGCTACAAGAGAATCGCTGATCGCCCGTTGGCTTTTGAAGGATTCTCGCATTTGTTTGACAACGCGCCCCCCCGTCGGCCCAAGACTGTCAACGAGACCCCCAAGATTGCCGAAGAGGCCCCACAGAAGGGCCCCAGGACGGCCCAAGAGGCCCCCAAAGCCGCTCCCGAAAAGGTCCCCACGGCGGCCCCAAAGTCTTCTCAAATGCATAGACAAGGGCCTCCCAAAACTGGCTCTGAAACGCCACAAAGGGGCTCCAAGACGGCGCAGAGAAACCCGCAACACGACTTCCGACGGCGTCAGACTGACCAGGAGGCCCGTAAGACGGCCAAAGGGCACTCAAGAAACACCCAACGGCCCCCAAGAGGCCCCAAGAAGCCGCCAAGAGGCACCCAGGAGGCCCCCGGCCAAGAATGACACATTCAACTCCCAAGAGGTCTCCTCGTCCTTCTCCTCATCCTGCTTTTTCCTTCCTCTCACCGTCCTCTTCCCCCCCACGAGTTCCCCGAAGGGCTTCCACAACGGCTGGGGGAACGCATGGCCAAATAGTGTGGCCAAACTTTGCCCAAACGTTTGGCTCCTTACGCGTATCCTTACAAAAGGCAGAGGGCGGCGGTGATTCGCCGTGGGCGTCATTGATCCGCCGCCCCCTGTTGCTTGCAAAAGGACGTGGGCCGTGGGGGGCCTTTTTCGGCCATTCCCAAAAGACCACATGGGTGAACCCAGGCGAACACAACACAACCCCAGCAAAGCACCCCAATAGCAGCTTGGGTGTGGATGCGGGTGGGCGCTTGCAACGTCGGCTTGCGAGGGCGACTTCAGCAGATTGACGATGCGGTTGCGGAATTGAATTTGCAGATGAGGGTGACCTTCGTCATGCTGACATGGTGGCGTGGACGCGCTTGGAACAGCATTGGGAATCGAGCGACCCCACTCCTGGCAGCTGGAATGGTGAGAAAAAAAAGGCCCTGCCACACGTTTTGGATCTAGGACAGCTGGAGCGGTGAGAATCCGATGCCGTTGGCCACAATTTCTGGACCTGCGACGGCTGACATCGAACCACAACACCATGATGAGTCTAATTTCTGGATCTGCAAGGGCTGAGCTCGAAACAAAACACTCACCCCCCCCGGTGGAGATTCAGACGAAAAACAACATTGAACTGAAATCGAGCCAGAACAATATAATTCGTGAGTCTCCCTTCTGGACCACATCGAACCACAACTCTATAATGTGTGTCTCGATCATGGAGCTTGGAGGGCTGCAATCTAACTCGAACATCACGTGTTGCCTAATTTCTGGACCACATCGAGCCAAACCGCCAGAGTGAGTCTCACTTCTGGACCAACTCGAGACAGCACACCGTAGTGCGTGCTGACGGATGGCGCTGCCACCGCGCCGCCAGACCAGTGACACGCCTCCCCCCGGCACCCCCTGTGGACATGCTGATGGAAGGAACCTTTGAACTCTGTTAGAACCCCTTCGCGGCTGCTAAGGAGCACATCAACCCACTCCGCCTCCACGACGGCCAAGATGGCCCAACATGGCCTGCAAGACGGTTCCACGACGCATCCAAGACGGCCAAGGTGGCCGCACAAGAGAGGCCAATATTGCTTGAATAATGCCCCCGAAGCAGCCCAGGCAGGCCCTCAGAAAGACCCAGGAGTTCCCCAGAAAAGGTCACAGGAAAGCCCACGAGGCCTCCAAGAGGCCTCCGCCCTCCTCATCCTTTTCCTCCTCCACCCCTTCTCCTTATAACTCCTCCCTGTCGCACCCCGAGGCCAGTCGAAAGGAGGGCCAGGCGTCTTGCCTGAGACTTCCTCACTATTGATGACCTTGAAACTGAAGTTTGCAAGAGCTTCATAGATGGAGGGCGGCCCGTTTTCAAAATGAGGCTCTCGCTTCAGCGGCGCGTGCAATCGTTTTGAAACTTTGCACGGGCCTCGCAGAGGGAGGTTATAATGTGGCACTCGCCTGAGCGCCGCGCATATTCGTTTTAACAGTTCGCAAGGGCTTCGCGGATGGAGGGCGGTCCGTTTTCAAAATGTGGCTCTTGCCTCAGCGCCGCGCGCATTCGTCCTAAGAATTTGCAGCAGCTTTAAGGATGAATGGTGGCCCGTTTTCAAAATGTGGCTCTCGCCTTAGCGCCACGCGCAGTCGTCTGAAAAGATCGCAGACATGTCAAGGATTCTGATGGTTAACGTCCCAGACATTTATTTTGGCACGACATCAATGTGAGGGCGCAACAGTCGCGTTAAAATGTTGTGTTGAAATCCTAGGAATGGTGTTCTGGCACGATTCAGGGCCGCCAAGACGCAATCCTGACGGTGATTCGCGGCGTTGGTGTCCCAGGAAAGGCGTTCTGGCACAATTCCGGATGTTCTAACGGTTGTCTTCCAACGGGGCACTTGCCTCGGTGAAAATTGAACCCGTGTAAGAATAAAGAGGGAACTTGGGTGGAGGGTGAATTGCAATCTCGTCAATGGATCTCGGGTTTACACTGGTTATCCTCTTTTTCCTCCTTCTCTCTTTTCCTTCCCCAGATGTTCTCCCAAGGGTTTCCACAACGACTGGGGGAGCATATCGTCCAATAGCTTGACCACAGAAGTGTTTACAAAGGCCGGAGGCGGCGGTGGTGCGCCGCAGGCGTCTTCGTCAACAAGGGAGATTGGGGGGTCGATGCGTTCCCGCCTGAGCCTACCACCCCCCAGCCCTGGTCCCAGCGCCGACTCAAGACACCCGCGCATGACCACCGAGCGCTTGAGCCATGCCGATGTTTGTTGGCCCTCTGCGGCCTGCAGCCCCTCGAGGTAGCGGCAAATCAGCCGCGCGTGGTCGGACGGGGAGCCGGCCGACGAGGCGCCCGCGGCCGCCTCGGCGCGGTCGAGCTCGCTCTCCTGGCCCAGCTCGGCCTGCATCCGGTCCAGGTGGCGCCGCCCCTCGCCGCACCAGAGCTGCTCCTGGAGCTCCTCCAGCCCCAACCTCACGTCGGCGGCCTCGGCGGCGGCCGCCCCCCCGCCCGAGCCGCCGCTGCTGGCCGCCGGCTGCCACGCCGCAGGCGCAGCCGGCGGGTCGGAGTCGTCACCGCTGTCGCTGTCGCTGCAGCTGCCGGCTGGCCGCGCCGCCCGCGCGGGCCCGGGGCCGGCGCCGTCGCTGTGCGCCGCTGTCGGCGCCGAAGCCGCGGCCCGCTCCTCCGCCGTGGCGCTCCGCTCCGCCACCCCGCCGGCCGCCGCCTCGGCCGCTGCCCGCTCCGCCGCGGCAGCCCTCCGCTCCGCTTGCAGGCGGGCGGCCGCCTCGCGCCGCGCGCGATCCTCGGCCTCCTCGCGGCCGCGGCGCTCCTGTGCGAGCTCGGCCTCCGCCTCCCGCATGCCCCGCCACCTGAGCTGGCGCGCCGCCTTCGCGGCCGAGCGCGACGTCTGCGCGAGGGCGGCGGCGTACTGCGCGCGGCGCAGCTGCGAGAGCAGGTCCGCCAGCGCCTCGCCAGCGAGGCAGGCCTCCTCGTGTGGCAGCACCTGCTCCGGGCCCAGCTCCTCCAACAACGCGGCAGCTCGCTCCGCGCTTCGCTTGGCCCCCTGCGACGCGACGGCCTCCTCCAGCGTGGGCCCGCGGGCGCGCCGTCGCCTCCTGCGCTGGCGGCGCCAGGGCTCCCCGCCCAGCCCGCGCGGCGGGCGGCCGTGCGGATGCCCAGCATGGCCGCCGCAGTCGTCCGCTTCGCGCTCGAGGATCTCTGGCTGCGCGGGCGCCGGGATCCCGCCGCGCGAGCGCCAGCGCCGCAGCGCCGAGCAAAGGGCCGCGCCGCATAGGCCCTCCGCGAGCCGGAGCAGCAGCGCGGGCCTGAGCAGCCCGACCTTGTGCGACAACTCCTCCAGCGCGCCGCTGTCACACAGCGCGCCGACGGCCTGGATGGTCTCCTCGACCCGCGCGCGGTCCGCCTGGAGGCCCAGGAGGGCGGCCTCGTGCCTGCGCAGCGCCTCCTCGGCGGCCTCCGCCTCTTCCGCCCCGCCGCCCGCGGCCGCCCCGGCCGGCTCCAGGAGGGCGGCCCCCTGCCTGCTGGGGGCCTCCGCGGCCGACTCCCCCGCCGCCCCCTCTCCGCCTGCGGCTCGCGTGACCGTTGCCGTCGACGCCGAGCGGTGCCCCCCTTGGGGGGGCCCCGGGCGCGAGGCAGAGATCCAGCCCCGGGCTGCGCGGCGGGTGGCCGGCGGCCCAGGGCAAGGGGGGCGGGGGGGGGGGGCCGGGGCGAGACTGCTAGAGTCTGGATGGAGGTTGGCGAAGGAAAAGGAGGAGGAAGAGGAGGAGGAGGAGGAGGAGGAGGAGGAGGAGGAGGAGGCGGATGATGACGATGATGGTGATGATGCTGATGATGCTGCTGATGATGATGATGATGATGATGATGATGATGCTGAGGATGATGATGATGATGATGATGATGATGATGATGATGATGATGATGATGATGATGATGATGATGCAGATGATGATGGGGATGATGATGATGATGTTGGGGATGAGGATGATGATGCTGCTGATGATGATGCTGATGAGGATGATGATGATGCTGCTGCTGAGGATGAGGATGATGATGATGATGATGATGATGATGATGATGATGATGATGAAGATGATGATGATTATGATGATGATGAAGATGATGATGATGATGAGGCGGCGGA